CAACCATATTGAAGACTACAGTCCTTGACCTTCTACAGCAAGCACTTCAGGTCTTCTTTGGCTTCAGCAAGCAAGATTGTGCCATCTGCATAATGTAGGTTGTTGATGAGTCTTTATCCAATACTAATCTCACATTCTTCCTCATAAAGCCCTTCTTCCTGGATGATCTATTCTGCATATAGATTTAAAAGGTATGGAGACAGGATGCATTCCTGACACACCCCCTTCCTGATTTTGAACCATGCACTGTTTCCCTTCTCTGTTCTGATGACTGCTTTCTGGTCCAAGTGTAGGTTTTGCGTAAGCACAATAAAGGGTTTTGGGATTCCCATTTTCCTCAAAGTAAGTCACAAGTTTTTATGATGCACACAGTCAAATGCCTTTGTATAGTCAATGAAACATAGAGAGACATTCCTCTGGTACACTTTGCTTTCTGCCAAGAACCCTCTCATATTGGCAATAAGGTCTCTAATAACGTTTTCTAAACCCTGCTTATGTTTCCGGTTGTTCTCTGCCAATGTACTGCTCCAGTCATTTCTGGAGAATCTTCAGCAGGAATTTGCTAGTGTGTGATATTAGTGATACTGTTCAATAATTTCCCACTCTGTTGGGTTACCTTTTTTTGGAATGAGAAGAAATAAGGATCTCTTTCAGTCAGTTGACTAAGTAGTTGTCTTCCAGATTTCTTGGCACAACTTGCTGAGCACATCCAGGGTAGCATCTGTTTGCTGAAATATGTCAATTGGTATTCCATCAATGCCTGGGGCTTTATTTTTTGCCACGTTTTTCAAAAAAGAGCAAACTGCACGTCCTCCTTCATCACCATTGCCTCTTGCTCATGCGTCATCACCATTGCCTCTTGCTCATGTGTTGTTTTTTGAAATTCTTCTGTGCCAGCCAATTCTTTTTGGTACAATGATTCTATGTATTCCTTCCATATTCTTTTAATACTTCTTGAATCATTCAATATTCTACTCATATCATCCTTAAGCATTGAAACTCGTGGTATGAATTTGTTCTTCAGTTCCTTCAGCTTAAGAAATGCTGAGCGAGCTCAGCCCTTTTGATTTTCTGACTCCAGCTCCTTGCACATTTCATTATAATACTTTGTCTTGTCTAGACATACGATTCCCAAATTTTAAAGCCCAAAACCATTAACTGTGCTTCTTGTTAAAATATACCTTTCAAAAATAGCCCTCAGGGCAGGATTTGAGAGTCTAAATTTTTACCAAGCCCTCAGTTGGCAACATTGCCGGTTTGTAAATGACCCTTGAACTAGAAGAAGACCTACAAAAACTAGACTCTGTCAATCATTAAAATTCTGTAAATCATGCATGAGTGTAAAAGAAAGTTCTAGCTTTTCAAAGACAGGGGAATGAGGGGAGAAAGAGTGAGCCAATAAGCAGAGGGAGCAAGAGAAAATAGAGACTGAGAGCAGAAAGAGAGGACATAAAGGAGGCAAGGGGGTCGAGGGTGAAGGAACATGGAGCTGAGCACGACAGACTGTCTAAGTAAGAAATCTTGCCTCTCGTGCAGTTTCACCTGGGCATGTGAATGAGCACAGTTCTTTACCAAAGCTTAGAATACTTTCACTTGTGTTTTCTTTAACCACTGGTAAAAGGAATTTCTCAAGATGCCCATTTGCTCTGTAGGATGGGAGATTGCACTCTCCCCTCCCAACTTTGATAGAAGTCAACAGATGGTTTTCTAAAAGCAATAGGAAGGGCAGCAATTGTGCTTCTTGGCTAAAGAACAGCACTTGTAACTGGGTCTTATTTTTTGTTTCTTGCGGATCAATTTGTTAGACTAATGAAAGCCACATTGATAAATAGTAAATTTCCTATCATCCAGAGGCAGCAGTAAAGATAATGGACTGTTGCTGTGGGATAAAAAAAGTGGTAAATAGAAAAATAAGAATGAAAGAAAAAATCCAATCATGAACAAAGGGATAAGAATAAGAATTTAGAGCTTAAAATTCAGTTTCAGGAATAAAAAGTCCATTCTATACAGTTGCAGTGGATCTTATTTGTGAATATCATAAAGAATTAGAAGTTACATGAAAATAGTTAGCAATAATTGTGTTTATACCAATTGCTATCAATATTATGTATTTATCTGTGTGTGTATGTATGTGCACACAACTCGGAATTTACCAATGTTATCTGAATGATGTGTATGTATATTTATAGAAAAAATTTATACATGTTATGTCCCGTTCTTTCATTATCAATATGATTTTTGCCTTTCAATATCCATGAATAAACATTGGCTGAAAATTTGCTATTTGGTGGCCTTGTGCCAGGGTCACAGACAACTCAGAATCCTTCCAAATATGATCCAATATTTTTTTAATTTTAATTTTATATTGGTTTGCATGCAAAAAATTCTTACACATTGTGTTTCACACTTGCCTTCGTTCACATTATGTTTCATACAATCACTGCCACACATTATGTTTTAGAAAATTAACCACCTTTGAACTATGCCCACCATGACCCCACCTTTTCAGGTCTCTTTCAGATCTTTCCCATTTCCTTTAACCCCTTCTTCCAGCCGTTAAATTATATGAACCTGTCATTTCCCCCTGAGCATCCTTACCCCTCTGTGCCCACTCCTTCCTCCCTTGGGTCCCCATACTTTTTTACTAGTTATCCTTGTATTTTTATAATAATGGTCTTATGCAGTATTTGTTCTTATGAGACATCGTTCATTCACTCAGCATAATGCTCTCCAGTCCCTCCTAAGTTAAGCATTATTTTTCAGAATCATTATTCCTGAGTGCTGTTCTTTGATTGTGGCTTTTGACAGAAAAGAAATACTTCCTGATTTTTGTCAGAAAGCAAATACCTCCTTACTCTTATACAAAATGGCACATCTGAGGAACATAGGTTTCATATGTTTGAATCTTTTCCAGGTTGTTAGTTAATTATGCCTCCAAAACTCCTTGAACACTTTTAAAATTAATTCACCTTGCAGACTTCTTACAGTTAGAACCTGTAACTTGACAGGATGTGTGTGTCATATAATGGGTTCTCAGTGGCTATAGGGGCGCACTGTCGCACATTAGAGTTGAACTCTTCATATAATAGGCTTTAAATAGATGAGGGTGACCAGCTTTTTGGAATGCATGCCAACATCTAGTGTGCAGACTTCCTCAATTCTCACAAGATTGAGTTTAGTCTCCAAAGAGGTAACACACGCACATTATTTGCAGCAACTTGAGCTCTGGCGATGCGGGTGGAATTGCACCATTAATGGAAGCCCATGTCATTCTGCTGGTTCAAATTCAGCAGTGGTGCCAGGGGAGAAAGAGGGACATTTTCCTCTCCTGTTATTTATAGTCTTTTAAAACCTGCAAGAGGGTCTGCTATGAATCAATTTGACAGCAATGAGGTTTGTTTTTTGTTTGCTTGTTTGTTTGTTTTTAATTTAGTAAGTTTGGTGTTGGCTGTTAACTAAGTCTATTCCCATAGAGATTTACAATCTCAGAAATCTGTAGAGCTACCACAAATCAGACTAGATTGGAAGGCAGTAAGTTGGGGTTTGTGGTTGTTTCCTTTTTAGTATTTAGCAGGATCTCTTCCTCTCCCTCTCCCTCTTCCTCTCCCTCTCCCTCTCCCTCTCCCTCTCCCTCCCACTCTCTCTCTTAAATTTAAGAAGCCAAGGGATTTTTTTCCTAAGTGCTTCAACCCTAAAAACTCAGTCCCGCGTAGTGGGAACCGACTCCTAGCTGACTCTCTGGCTTGCTTTTGGGAAGCTGCAAATCACACAGAAAAAGATTGCCCACTTTTGCCCCACAGAGTCACTAGTGGATTCGAACCACCAGAGAGGTACTGCCTTTGGGTCAGCAGGGCAACTCCCTGCGGATTATGCCACAGTTGTGGTTTGAGTTAATGTCTTAACGATTTCCAGGAATGCAATCAGAATCTTATTACACTGTCTAAAATCTGCCCTGTAGCTCTGTTGGAAACCACTGTAATTGTGCAGTAAATTCTGTTAACATCCTTGCATTAGATTTTGGTAAACATGGTTAAATTGTGACTCCTTTGAGCTTAGATGTGCCTCCAGGTAGTCAAACTTCTGAGGTTTTCTCTTGATCTTTCATAAACAATTTCAATGTACCAAGGAGTGGTAGGGAATGTAGATGATAATGTTATCTTTAAAAAATGCATTCTTAAGTCATAAATTAACATACTCTGGTTTCTGAGGCTGCAGTCATCCTTTATTTCTCACTTCATGTCTCTCTCTCATTGATATCGAGTCAGAACTGGCCCGTGGCTGATCCACAGTTGGGTTTGCAGGGCTGGAAAGCACATGGCAGGTATGAGAATACCTGTCTTCCTCCTGTGGAGCAGCTGGTGAATGCCAGCTGCCGAGAGCCATGCCCTCTGAGTGAGTAGTGCACCTCCCTATGCATGTGACACCAGAGCTCCCCTCTCTCGGCAAGAACAACAGCCACCAAAAATGTCAATGCTATCAGAAGCAGTCTACAGATAAATTGCAGTCCAGATCATGTCAGATGGTGCAACAACAACCCTGTATTGCATTTTGTGTTGTTCTTTTTTAAGACTGGTGACGGGATCCGGATCTGGACCCTCTGGTGAGTTTTCAGATGTTATTAATTGCTTGGGAAGATATTGCCTATTCTTCTCCCATGGAGCAGCTGCGGGATTTGAACTGTGTGCCTTTGGTATTGCAGCACAGCTACTTGCCACTAGGCTACCAGTTCCCCCACAATACAAGGTATTAACAATAATGAAAGAGGAAAAATCCAGAAGATTCCATGTTGCACAAGACATGATTTGAAATTATGAGTAAATTTCTACCAGGTTTTTGAATGACTATTACTAATTTCTTTCAGATTATTTAATTAATTTTTGTGACTTTTTTGGTTAAGTGAAGGTGTTTGGAAGTTTTAGGCTAAAAGTAACCTGTAGAGGTGTGAAAAGGAAAAGACAAAAAACAACAAAAGAGTAAACAGATTTCTCCTCTTTTCTTACCTCTTAATCTATAATAAGCTTGAACACTGGCTAGTATTTGCTGCATGGATTCCTGCGGGCAGATTTTAACCCCAGGTGGGAAAAATGTTGATCTCTTTGCTCGTTGCTTTGCCAGATGGAATATTTGTTGCATGGTGGACACTTTGTGCAGTTTTGCTGGACTTTCAGTTGTTTCAATTCTGGAACCATTGTCTATGTCTTTGATTTCAGAATGGTATATGTTAATGGAGATGCCTGTAAAAAAAAAGATTTAAGTTGCCAGTGAATATAAGTATTTAAACAGTAAATGTGACACATACGGATAAATAAATGAAAAAGTCCTCTGGTTTACAAAGCTATTGGTGAAACAGTTCAGTCCATTTTTCCAATCATGAGACATTTTCAGGAATAAGAATATAGTATAATGAGAAGATCAAATGTGGTTAGTTGTTTGTTTGTTTTTCTTTCTAAAGCACCTTCCCAGATCATTTTGCCGTTAGGAACTGCCAAATATTGAAAACATTTCCCACACATCTCTCTACTTATCATTGCCCACTAAGCACTCAAACCTCCCGAGAGATGCTTCTTTTGATAGACATTATAACTCAAGTGGGTAATGAGGAGGCAGTGTGGGATCCAGAGGTGTACTCTTGAAGAGGAAATGGAGTGCTTATAAAAACCAAGGGAGAAAAATGCAGCAAAATCATTTCCCTGCCTATTAGTGGCAGCATTGGGATTAAAGGAGAGATTCAGCAGGGGGCAATCCATTGAAAGTGGGTGAGGAAATTGAGATGTCTGAGAGTTGAAGTTGCAGAATAAAATTGCTGTTATGTAGAGGATGATGGGAGGGAGGGTGAAGGGAGGCAAAGAGAGAAGGTGGACAGAGGACAAACATCCCCAAGTCATCTAATCCTGCCAGCACTTCTGTGTTATGGGTGGGTCTTTATTTAGGTTTGGGTCCTCCCCTCTCTTTTGGGATCCCTTATAATAAAGCTTTAGATATCTTAAGGTACTTTTCTATTTCTAATATTTTCCCCCAAGTGTATCTCATGTCATTCTCACAACAGTTGTGTAGGTGGCACCTCTGCTATTTCTCTTACATTCATATCTGGTGAAGGATTAACAACTGTAAAGGAGACTTGGAGGTAAAATGGCTGAAGCTGACTGAGAAGTTAGTGACTTAACCTCACCACAGGCTCTTCAGGAGGAAAGAACTAGAGAGATCTGCTCCTATAAAAAGACTGTTGTTGAATGCTATCGAGGGGGGATCAACCCAGAGCTGACCCTAATCGAGCTTTCAGAGACAGTGAATTGCACGGGAGGAAAATGCCCGTCTTTCCTAGGAAATACTACAGGGGTGTGGGCAGGGCCGGTTCTACTCTTACGCAAAGCCACTGGTAGATTTGAATGGGGAGAGAGGCATGGCCTCTGGGTTAGCCCAATTTCCCAAGGACTGGGTTGCCAGCTGTTGGTATTGTTATGTGCCTTCAAGTTGGTCCCAACTCGTGACTCACAGCTGACCTTCCACTAGGTTTTGAGAGGCTGTAAATTGCATGGGAGGAGATTGCCCATCTTTCTGCCTTAGAGCAACTCGTGAATTCAAACTGCATACCTTTGAGTTGGCAGCACAACTCCCTTCCACTAAGTCACCAGAGCTCCCAGAGCAGTACTAAATTCATAGGAAAGGATCTCCAGAAAAAGGGTTGGAGAAGAATTTGTTCACTCAACCACAATCTTGTTGTTGTTATGTGCCATCAAGTCACCTGTGAGACATAGTGAGCCTATGTACAACAGCCCTGAACCCTACTCTATCCTGTGCCAATCTCGCTGTCTACGACACACCTACCCCCATTACCACAGTCACTGAATCAATCCACCTCATTGAGGATCTTCCTTTCCTTTATTGTCTCTCCAACTTCCCAAACATGACATCCCTCTCTAAGGACCAGTCTCTCCTTGTAATATGTTCAAAGTATGTCCGATGAATCTTCAGAATCCTTGCCTCCAGGAAGTAGCCTGGTTTCACCGTATGCAGGATGAACCTGTTTGTTTTCTTAGCAGTCCATGGTATATTCAATACTCTGTTCCAACGCCACAGCTTAAAGGCATCAATTCTTCTATCATGCCTGTCATTGTCCAGCTCTCTAATGCATAGGCTAGGTTTAGAAGAGGCCATGGTACTAGGGATTTTGTAGCTAATGGTAGATGGATCTTGGCTGAAAACAGGGAGGAATACCAGAGGAATGTATATCTGTGTTTAACTGACAAGCCAAGGCATTTGACTGTGTGGATCGTAACAAATTGTAGCTGACTCTGAGAAGAATGGGAATCCCAGACACTTGATCAACCACAGCTTAGAACAATTAAATCTAGTTCCGATGTGAATGAAAAATAGTATGTAACACAATGTGTATGAACTTTGTAAGCGAAAGCAAACCAAGTGAAAAATGATCATAGTCTCTGATTGGAACACAGGCACTAGCAGTTTTTGAAGACCACCAGATGATTCCAATATGCAGAAAATAGGGAACTATTGTTTTAGTGATTGTTAAAGATCCTTTCAGCTAGAGTCCAGATAATCTATCTTAGACTGGCTGAAACAACGATGAAGTTATTATCTCCTACAAAGACTTGCCAGAGGCAGGGAATGCCCCAGGCCTGGTGAAGGTGCAGCTCTGGCTTTTCCCTCCTGTTTTTCCCTGGCCTCTGTCACTTATAAAGGGATTTTGTTTGCAGGCAGGGTTCCATCAAATTCCCCTGGTGGCTGACAGCAGCAACTGGAACAACACATTCTTCTTTGTTCATGTGAAAAAATAGCTTTCCCTGAAGTCAAGGTGACTTAGTAGTGTACCTGGGCCAATACTGGTTGCCAGGGGTTACCGTGCTATAGTTGAGTAATCACAGGGCTTGAGATGAGATTACGAGGGGCAGCTCCTTCTTGGAGTCAGTTTTCTCTGAATCAGGAAGGCTGCAAGACAAAGTAGAAAGTGCCCACATTGCACTGGAGCAACATTTAAGAGGTGAGCAGTGCTGAGCAGGCATCTGTGACATCTGCCTGGGTCTGTAAAGCTGATTCCAACTTTTAGTAATCCTCTAGGACAGAGCAAAAATTTTCTCTTGAGTTTCTAAGCCTGTAAATATTTACAGCAGAAGACAGCTCCGTTTTTTTCCTCACAGTGACTAGTGAGTTTGAACTACCGATTTTTCAGTTGGCAGCCTAATGCTTAACTCAATATAACACTAGGATTCTTCTTGTGGTTGTTAGGTACCATCAAGCTGAGTATGGCTCATAGCAACCATAGGAACAGCCAACCTGCACCTTACCCTATCATGGCCATCATTATCATCAAGAGATGATAAAACCCATTGCTGAAGTCACCACATCAATCAATACTTTTGGGTATCTTCCTCTCCTCCATCTTTCAAGCACGATGTCCCTTTCCAAGGAACAGCCTTGCCTAGAAGCATGTCCAAAGTATGAACGATGTAGCTTTGCCATCCTTGCCTCCAAGGAATACTATAGATGCAGCTTTTCCAAGACATATCTACTTGGTTTTTTTTTTTTTGACAGTCTGCGGAATATTCAGTACTTTTCTCCAGCACCACGACACGAAAGCACCAATTCTTCTTCTGTCATCCTTATTAATTTTCAAGCTCCCTGAAGCAAAGCACGTGATTGAGAAGGCCATGTACTGAGTCAGGCACATCTTAGTCTTCAAACTGACATAATTTCCTTCAGCATTTTGGAGAGGTCCCTGGCTGTAGACTTGCCAAGTGCAATACATCTCCTGACTTTCTGACTGCTGGCACCAAGGGTGTTGATTGTTGATCCAAGCAAGATGAAATCATTGCAACTTCAATCCTTTCCGCATCTATCATAATATTGACAGTTGGTTCAGTGGTGAGGATCTTTGTTTGCTTGATGTTGAAATGTAATGTATACAGAAGGCTGTAGTCTTTGATCTTCTACAGCAAGTTTCATATCTTCCTTACTTGTAGAACACAAAGTTGTATCATCTGCATAATGTAAGTTATTTATGAGTCTTCCTTCACTTCTTATGTCATGCCACATTCTTCTCTATAGAGTCTGACTTTGTGAATTATTTGCTCAGGATACAGACTGAACAGGTATGGCAAAAGGAGACAACCCTAAAGCACACACTTCCTGATTTTAAACCAGGCGATGCTCCCTTGCTCAACTCGGACAACAGTTTTTTGGTTTAAGTATAGATTTCACAGTGGCACAATTAAGGGTTCTGGGATTCTCATTCTTCTCCATTTTTTTATAATTTGTTATGAAACACACAGTCAAATGCCTTAGCTTAGTCATTAAAACAGAAGTAAATATTCTTCTGGTATCAAGCTAGCTTGAACTTCTGCTAGCTACCTGTCAATGTACTGTTCTAGGCATGTTTTCATGATCTTCAACAATATGTTGATTGAATATGATATTATTCAATAAATTCCACACTATGTTGGATAATCTTCCTTGGCAGCGGAGAAATAAATGAATGTCTTCTAATCAGTTGGCCAGGTAATTATCCTCCAAATTTCTTGGCATAAACTGGTGAGCACATCCAGGGCTGCATGTATTAGTCAAAACTTGTTAATTGATATTCCATCAATTCCTGGGGTATTGCTTTTTGCTAATACTTGCAGTCCAGCTTTAACTTTATTATCATTGTGTCTTGTTCATATGGTACTTCCTGATATTTTTCAATGTCAATAAAATTTTTTTAGTACAGCAATTTTGTGTATTCATTTCATCTTCTTAAGATGATTCCTGGATCATTCAAGACTGTGCCCATAGCATCTCTCAGTATTGCAACTCAAGGCTTGTATCTATTCTTCAGTTCTTTCAGCTTGAAAAGTGCTGAGTGATTTCCTTTCCTTTTATTCTCTTACTTCAGCTCTCTGCACTTTCTATTATAATATTTTACCTTATCTTCTCCAGCTGCATTTAGAAATCTTCTGTTCAGATCTTTTACTTCAACATCTCTTTCTTTAGTTTTGGCCTTGTGATGTTACAATGTAATTTTAACAATCTCTTCTGACATCCACATTGGCTTTGTCTTTCTCCTCCTTCTTTGTAATGACCTTTCGCTCTTTTCATGAATGATATCCCCGATGTCCTCTCACAGTTCCTTCAGTCTTCGATTGCTGGTGTTCAATACCTCGAACCTGTTCTTACAATGATTCTTAAATTTAATTGGGGTAGGCTCAAGGTCATATTTTGGTTCCTGTGGACTAGTTTTAATTTCCTTCAGCTTCAATTTAAACTTATGCATGAGTAATTGATGGTCTGTTCCCTAGTCGGCACCTGGTCTGGTTTTGACTGCAGATATTGCACTTCTCCAATGATTCTTTTCACAAATACAGTCAATCTGAGTTCTGTGCAATCTATCATGTAAGGTCCATGTGTAAAGCTACCATTTGTGTTTTTTTAAAAAATGTACTTGCTGTGAATAAATCATTGAGTTCACAAAATTCAGTCGCTGTCCTCCTTTCTGTTACCAGTTGCATACTTTCAGACTACCATTCCTTCTTGATTGTTTACAACTTCTGCATTCCAATCACCAGTACTTATTAATGCATCTTGATCGCTTGTTTGGTCAATTTCGGATTGTGTGAGTCTCCCCCTCTTGACTTTCATTGTTGATACATATATTTGAATAATAATTATATTAAAAGATATTCCTAGTACGCATATGGATAGTATTGCATTCCTCACAGCTTCTTGTACTTCAAGATGGATATTTTTAGCTACAAAAGCAACTTCACTCTTCATCAATTTTTCATTCCCAGCATAGTAGATCACATAACTGTCTGAGTCAAAGTGGCGTATATTTACTTGTCCATTTCAGTTCCATGATGCCTAGAATATCTTGGGTTTAATTTCATTTTTTAATGGCATTATAATTTTTTTAATTTACTTCATAGCTTCAAAAACCAATTATTTAGGTAGTAATTCAGTCTCTTCTTTTACATTATGTGATAAATGCTTTATGTTACAAATCTTTTTAAGTGTAAGAAAAAAATAAAGGTAGGAGACTTTGAACTACCAAGATATATGTGTGATCTAAGTTAGTTAAATCACATATTCATAGGGAGTGCAATGTTGTATGGAGATTATACTTAAATTTGTTAAACCTCAGGAGCTCTGGTGGTGTAGCCTGTCAACAGTTGCACTGCTAACCCAAAGGTTGGGTATCTCCAGCAACTTTTTTTAAATAAAAATTTTTATTTTAGGTGTGATTTTAACAAAAATTAACAGAAAAATTAGATTTTCATTCATTCCTTTTTGCACAATTACCTC